CCCCAAAACCCCAAAACCCCAAAACCCCAAAACCCCGTGGTCTTAGATAATTGTGGCTATAGATTAGTCTAAGTAAAATACTTAGTCGAAATAATAAATAAAATTGTGTTTATTAAGTATTACTTAGGATAATAGTTAAATCAAGTAAACCACTTATTCAGATTGTGCATTTAATATACTCATAATGAATGTATTATCTACTACTGAGATGGTTATATTAGGCAATTTCTCTACTTTCAATAGTTATACTATTTTTAACCTTCAATCTTAATCAATCTACTATCTTACTTAGAATCTATTTACTATTATTTTTAATTAAGTTTACTAGCGTCCAAGTTCGTACAAATCTTATTTTGAGTCTTGGAATTTATTTTTCATTGAGATTTTTTATGGTTTTAGCCTGGAGTGTTTGTCACTGAATTTGGGTTCCCAACATTTAACTCACCTTACCCTCCACAGTTTATTATAACTCTATTGCTATTCTTAAAGCGCTTGCCATTAATACCCGCAATTGGCTTGCTATCAGCTAGGCCTTAATGATAGTTTGGTTGTGAAGAATAGGAATTTAAGCCAGTAACAGCTGTTGAACCTATCAAGTTTATTTGATTCATGAGCTACTCAGCCAAGCTAGCTTTAGATTAATACTGTGTATTCACTTGTAATCCTTCTCTCTGAGATGCCATTTAAGGGCTGTTCGGAAATTTATTTTTAACTTGCTTCCTCTACTATATTATGAAAGGCTTTTGCAATCTTCCCTAGGAAGGTGAAATTATGGGCAATTGAGGTTCAGACGTTCTGTCCTATCTAGATTAAAAGTTACCCAAGTTCTCAATGAAAACTGCTTTAGATATAGAAAAATCTTCTGAGTTGGCCACAGAGAGTTTTTTCTTATTATTTAGTAAGACTCTTTTATTTGGTTTTTAAATTGCTTATGAAAAGAATACATCATTTTACGGTAGAACTTACTGCTAATACTACTGACCTAAATGTTAGTGATTAAGCTTTTAGAATTCAGATTGGCCTAAGATATTTCTATTTTCACAAGATGATATATTGCTATTGTCTACGGTAGGTAGTATCTTTGATGGATGGCTATCTATAATACTCTTGCAATACGAATAGTCATCAGCCTCAATGGGTATGAACATATTGGAACTCGAATCCTTCTTAGACAGTAGACTGATTCTGTTTTATTTTTATTCTACATTTACCTCTCCTAGGATATTTGAGCTAATTTACCCCGGTTTGATCTTTTAAATAGGTCTTGATGGTTTGAATTTAGAATCTTAGTGCTAATTACTCATTTTGATGAGATTGATTACTCCTTAATTAGATTATTGAGATCCTTACTTATCAGGCTCTTGTCCTTCAGACTTATGTTGAGGTTAGATTTACAACTAGGACATTGGAATCTTATTTGGACGATTCTTGACAATTTTTTTATTTGAGGTCTTTAGATCTAACTTTTTTATTTTATTTATATCGGTGTTTATACAATTAGAATTTAGCCCTGAGTTGCTGCTCGTATTTGTTCGCTAATTTATATTATCAAGACTACCTTTTCCACTATGATTAGCTCTTTTATTAATAGAAGGAGTGAATTAATGCATTTTCTAGGGAAACATAGGGGATTCCTAATTAAAAGAAGTTCCCTTTGATTAATCTTTTTCCTATTGAAGTGTAGATCTTTTTTATTATTTAATCTCATTCAATCCATTTAAAAATGTAAGAGGCGATAGTTCTTGAGATTCTTCAGTATGTGGGTTATTTTAAAACATAGTTCTATGCATCGGATCAATGTTGCTAATAACATTATCTCCTTTAACTTTCTATGCAGATTTTGGCTCCATATTTATATTCTTTTTCGATATTACTATTGCAGGTGGACGATGGCGAGAATTATTTTTCTACTTAATAACCTAAATTCCATTCATTATACTCAATCTCTCACTGGAAATCTCTTTTAAACTTTATCTGTATGAAGATTGATCATTCTTATAGTTTATTCTATCAAGGTATGCATCATTATCAGAGAGATCTTTCTCACCACCATTTGTGCATTAAGAACTTTTTGGACTATAATTTTGAAAAGATCTGTTGAGATAAAATCCCTCATTTGCCTACTCTATTCTTTTTTTATAACTCTCAGAAATTTCACAAGAAGGTGAAGGATGATAACTTCCAATTTAATTGACTTTTTATATTCCTAAGAACAGCATTGCTTACTGAGCTCTTCTTAGAATCGATTCGATTTCAATTAATTTTAGTTCTTCTCCTTGAGTTAAGGGGGCAACATCGAAAGGATTTCTTGTGATCCAAGGATGCTTAATAGCTTGATGAACTGAATACCTTTCTTACAAACTTTTTGAACATAGTCTCCAAAATAGTGATTCTGCTTGCTCACTCAATTAGACTTTGGTCTTTAGTTCCTAATGAGCGATTCTATTAATGTATGATTTCTCATCATCACCGTTCTTATAAAAGGGATGCTCCCCAGTAAGAACTTTATACATAATAACACCGCAAGCCCACATATCAATTCTCTTTCCGTAACGTTAGCCTAAAGCCTATTCGGGAGCCATGTATAATATTGTTCCCATTTTTTCATCAATATTTTCCTATCCTGAGAATACGTTGAACTTATATTCAGCAGACAGCCCAAAGTCTGCAATCTTAGCTTCATACCTATTTCTTCATATCTATGGGTCATAGGTGATATTTAGAAGAATATTATCGGGTTTCAGATCTCGATGTATGTAATTCTTTTCATGTATAATTGTCAGGCCATTTAAAATATCTAGCATTATTTGTGATGCTGACTCTTCGTCAAGAATTTCTTAACCCTTTTCATAGAGACTGTCTATCAATTGCTCAAGTGAACCATCATTCATCTTCTCCATTTCAATAAATACATAGTCGCTAGAATACAAAATCTATAGCAATTCATTTTAGAAAATATAAGTTACCTATTTGAACCTAATAATGTTAGGGTGTTGTAAATCTTAAAGTACAATAAGTTCATTTCTCATTGTATCAAAGACTTGCTAATTTTTTTAGCTGATTATCTAAATGACTTTAATTTATTGGTTATATACTTTTAGCGCAGAGATCTCATTTGAGATGAGATTTTGGACTTCAAGAACCACTCCGAATGCTCCTTCTCCAAGAAGAGATTTCAGCTCATATACATCTTCGAACTTTAATTCCAACTAAGGAATCTAGATATCATAGATACTTTCAATTTGCAGATGATTTTTCAAGACTCGCTCTGCATGCTAAATAGCATTAAGAGTTTAGGATGCTGTTTATTTTTGTGCCTCCATTCGTATAAAAATATACCCCTTTATTAAATTTACTTCCTATATTTCTAAATTTTCCTAAGTTATAAGTTTTTAAATGTCATTCACGGGGTTTTGGGGTTTTGGGGTTTTGGGG